ACAAAACTCCTTTCCTGTGCTAACCAGCTGCTCTGTTCCTGCTCAGAGCTGTTGCTTCCCAACAAGTGTGGAAATGCCTGAAGTGCTGGGATCCTTGGGAAGAGAAACTGCCGGGCTGTTAATTACTGGTGCACCCCCCGTTTAATTGACAGACATGTTGCCAGGTTGGGGCAGCGAGGGTTTAATCTGCGTGGTTTTTATTGAGGGGGAATATTGTGATTTCCCTCCATCTGACCTCTCCACTGCTCCCTGTGTGATTGGTGCGGAACAAACTGGGTCAGCCGAGGCCGCTCGGAGGATTTTTCAAACCAGCCCTTGTAGCAGATGATGTTCAAACCACATCACTGGAGGACAGACCGAGGTTTGGAGGTGGGCTTGGTTTGGTTTTGAGTGAGGTCAGAAAAAACAGATGAGCTTTTTGGCATCCGCTGACCTGAAGAAGGGCTTGTGAATCTTTTCCCCCTCTGTACTGCTCAGTCCAAGGGGAGGTTAATTATACCTTCACACCTCGTCTTGTACTCTGTAGTAGCGTGTTTGCCATGGTTGATCTGTTTAGGCTTTTTTCAAGAATTTCCCTTGTAATGTTTAAGCTCCAGCCTGTGCACCCGTGCTGAAACCTGTCCCTTGGGAGAACCCTTTGGTGCCGTTGAGTTATTCTGTTTTATGGAACACGATTTTAATACTGTTCACCACGCTCTTAATCTCACGCCTGGCAGATAAAATGAGGTTTTTTTTAGCCCTTCCCCTGGGGGGACCTGGTGGGGCTCCATGCCCAACAGACCCATGGCAGCTTTGCTTAAAAAACCCACCCATCTGCCTTCCTGAGTGAGTAATTGACTGTGGAGAGTGGAAAATGGTGAATTGATTTTTATTTTTTTAAGTTGCATTTATTAAAAAGGGATGGGAGGGGGTGGGCAGTAAGATCTGTGGGGCAGGTTTGGGAGTCTGCCCTCGAGAAATGTGTGCAGCTGAGGGGGAAAGTCCTGATGGTTTGGTTCAACCATTCCAGTGGGGTTTGGCAAGACAGGGAAGACTCAGAGAGTTCCCTGTGTGATGAAGAGGAGCCTCCCAGCTGGCCTTATCCCTGATGTCCACAGGTTCATGTTGTGATGGTGAGATCTTCCAGGCAGCATCAATCCCTCGCTGGGCTCCTGCCATCTGCTCCAGTGGGAGCCCTGCAGGGGATTTGGCCTCTCTGGGTGCTGCTGTAGCAGTGGCGTTTCTGAAACAGTGCAAAGCAAAGGGCTGAACTGGCGTCACGAGTTACAATGCTGTGTTTGTTTGTTGGCTGCTGGCAGCACCGCATCAGGTCAAAATTAAGGATCTTTTAGGAGTTGTCAGTTGATCTTGTTTAATTTCATCTGTATTAGCACAGGACCTCGTTCGTGGGGGTTTGTTAACCCTTCCTTTTCCCTCTCCCTCCAACTGATGGCTACAGTTCTGGATCCTTATCAGAGCATCCTTTCTCTCCCTCACTTGTTTTTTTTTCTGAGGCAGCCTCAGGTTTTGTGTCTCATTACAGTAAAAGCCCTGTGGTTGCTGCCCAGCTGCTGTCAGGTCCCTCTCTGGATGGTGATTTAGAGCTGAGCCAGCATGGAAAGGGCCTTTCCATGCCTAAGGCAACCCTGTTGGCAGCCACAGTGGAGAAGTAATGTGCCACTTCTGCTTGGAAGAGTTGTCAGTTTTCTAGTTCAGTTGGGAAAAACAACCAACATTGGCTCGAGTTTTAGCAGGACTTTTGGAAACATCCCACGGTGTTTTGAAGGCAGCTGCTCCTGTTACTGGAAGAGATGAGCAGTGAGGACAGAGGGGTCCAGCTAATGAGCTTCACTCTGGAGGGAGGAAGCTAAATGCCTGTTGTTCCAGGGATTTGGGCAAGGGTCACTGAAAATCAGACCATGAGGAAGCTGCTGGTCATCAGTGAAGCTCATGGATGGGGATTGTCAGAGGCTGGAAAAACAGTGGTGCCTTGGTGTGACAGTGAGGTCCTGTCCCATCCCACTCCTCTTGACATGCCTGGTGTGCATCCGGGTCAGCTTCCACTGTTCCCAAGGTGGGTGGATCGGTGCTGGCACAAGGAATGAGTGGGAAGGCATGGGAGGAGGGCCAAGGTGTGGATTTGGGCTGGTTTGTGTCACTGTGGGATGCACCCTCAGGAGGATGTGATAGAGCTGGGGAACACCAAACTCCCCGTGCAGCAGGGAGCTTGTCAAGGCTGAAGAAAGGGGGTGGAAAACCGTGGCAAACGCTGCAGCATGGCCGGGGAGCAGCGAGGTTCTATTGTGTGGGGATTAACTGCCCAGCTGGAAAAAAGCCATCACCTTGCTGCCGGGAGTTCAGAGCCGGGTCAATGGAACAGGGATATATTCTTGGACTGGTACAAAGAGCTGAGGGAAAAAAAACCGTGGAGTGTTTGAAGTCCCGAGGCAGACAAAGGCCGTGGTTCTGCTGCTGCGATGGCGAGAGAGAGAGCGGGAGGGGCTGCGGAGTGTCCGGAGCTGTGCCGGGAACTCTTGGAAACACAGGAATTTCACACAGCTGTCAGGCCCCGGGAATGTGTGAGCACTCGGAGCACATGAATATTCAGAGCTGTGGCGTGTGTCACGCCAGAGGAAATGCAAAAATCCAAGTTTTCTCAGGGTTACTTATCTGGGAAACCTCTGACAGCGCTGGGGATGAAAGCGAATTCCTGTTCTGCAGGGCAGGTTATCTCAGCCCAGCTTCCCAATTAGCCAGCCCTATTTAAGGCTGGCAGCAGGATCTGCACTGCTTAATCCATTCCTTTGGTGAGCAAGTGCCTGTTCCTTAGAGCTGTGTGTTCCTGCTTTGGCAACCTTTGGCAGTGCTCTGGGAGCCCGGACTTTGCTCCTTCTTCCTCTAACCTGGCATCGCTTCTTTTTTTTTTTTTTTCCCCCAGTGTTCCTTTTGTGCTCGTTCTATTAATAACCAGATATCGTGGATTTAGTGTTTTGCTCAGAAGGATCCTCCCAGCACAGACTGAGGTGCTTCCAGCCGTGCTGTCAGGCAGTGACAGATGTCCTTGGGTACAGTGAGTGTCCAGCAGCGATGGGGGCTGCCAGGATTAGTATTCCAGGCACAAATGTGCCCCTTGGAATATGCAAAGCTCAGCGCAGCCTGTGCAGGAATGCCCTTGAAAGGCAAATTAAACCCAGCTCCCTGGTGGCTCTGGGGGAGTGGGAGTGCTCTGTCATCTGCACTGAGGTTCAACTAGGCTTTGAGGTGGCTGATTTTTTTGTTTTCCTTCTGTTTTCCCTTCTCAGAAGGGTTTGCTGAAAGAGCAGGAAGGGATGATGGGTCCTTTTGCCTTCAGTGGGGAGCATTCCCTGCCAGGAGAGCGGAGCCAGGTGAGGGTCGGGCTCTGATCCCAGGGAACAAAAGGCAGGATGAGAAGAAACGGCCTCAAGTTGTGCCAGGGGAGGTTTAGATTGGATAATAAGGAAAAATTTTTCACCAAAAGGGTTGTTAAGCCCTGGAAGAGACAGCCCAAGGCAGTGGTGGAGTCTCTATCCTTGAAAGTGTTCAAAAACACGTGGATGTGGCACTTGGGGACATAGTTTAGTGGTGGCCTCGGCTGTTCTGGAGTAATGGTTGGACTCCGTGATCTCAGAGGGCTTTTCCAACCTTAATCATTCTGTGACTCATTAGTTTGAGTTCTTGCAAATGGTGTCCTTGGTGCAGCACGTGGATGTACCAAACCACATCCCACCTGCACGTGAAAGTTAACTTTCATTTTACCAACGTCCACGGATGAAGCTGCAGGGGTTCTGAGGGTGCTTCCCAAGGGACTCGTGTCAGTCTGCCTCTGAAATCAAGATCATCTGATGTTCCTGACCGACTTGCTGCTCACTAACCTGTTCAGAGCTGGGGTCACCAACACCGTTTTGAGAGTTTAGTGGCCATGTCGAGGCGTTTCACCCCATCCAGGAACATCCCTGTGCTGGCACTGGAGCCGCAGCGGGGAGCAGCACCCGGCAGTAACCAAAGGAGTTGTGTCTGCCCACAGAGCTGAGCCAGGCAGAGCTCCCAGGGGTGGGGTGGTGGGGCTGCCTCTGCTGACTCCGCAGCCCCGGGGATGCTCCGATGCTCTTTGCAGGCTGAGCACGTGCTGCACACTCAGCAGGTTGTCACACGGGGGTGATCCAGCTGATCACGGCCACCGAGCTGTGCTTTGCTGCTGGGAGAGAAAGGTGGTGAGCTGGGCTGGGTGGGGAAGGGTTAGGCTGAAATGGGGTGGGGTTTAAGGCTGGCTTTGACTCCTCGGCACTGGAAACAGCCTGATTTTGTGGTTCTTCCCCAGACGCCCCACGCTGTGCCTGCTGATGTGTCTGATTGGGGTTGTCTCAGTTCGAACTGTCAGGACAGAACCTCCCTGTTCTTACTGTGCTACATAATCTGTCAAAATCAAGACATACACTGATTTCCCCAAACTTACCTCCTCTTGCACCTCATTTCAGAACCTTCTCCAGAGAAAAGCTGCCTTTGCTGCCAAAATCCTGGTTCCTCTTTTTTTTTTTGTGGTTCTCCCCCCCTCCCCAGTATGTTCAGAAGTGCCTTGATGCTGTGACATCTGAAATACTTCCTGTGCATGTGCTGTGCTGCCTTTGCTAGATAAGCAATAGCTGTTCCCTTTTACAGCAGGCACATCCCTTCCTGAAGAGGCAGATGTGGAATGTTTTCCCTGGGAACAAATATTTGCTGCTTTGTAATTACGGCACCTTAATTTTGCTTCTCTTTCCTTTCCAGCACAGCGTGTGTGTGATTAGAGGCTACTGATGTCTTCAAAGAGGGGGGGGGTGATGATGCCACACTCTTGTTCCTGGTTTGGGGCAGGATTTCTGCTTCAGGTTTCCCTCCACGCTGGTTTTGTGTAGGCTGAGCAGAGCTGATAGAGAAATGAAACTAAATCTGAGCTTTGGTCACGCTTGTAAATGCAATTGGTGTGTTGATTTTTTTTTTGTTGTTGTTTCTTGTTTTTGCAGGAGTTGCTCGGGAAGATAGTGTGCAAGAGGAATGGAAGAGAACGCTGGTGAGTACCCTTGGATGTCTTACAAAGAACAGCTTCACAACCTGTGTTTCCTTGGTCAAGTATCAGAAAGATCCTGATGACTTTAAACTTGGTCTCTTCGACTGAAGCGTAGAAGGTGATTGGAAAATCTAGTTTGGCAGATGCATCAGTTGTACTGATGGCGTGGACCAGATCTGATTTGAAGCTCTCTTGAACATCTGGAAGGTCTTTTTTTTTTTTAGAATTTCCCATCTCTGAAACCTGGAATACAAGTCTCTTGGCCACCCCAAGCTCTTGAAAACAAGTCACATCCCCTTTCTTAGCAGGGAAGAGTCAAAAGCAATGAGCTGGTTTGAACAAGCCATAAAAGAGGATCAGCTCATGGTTGCTCCCAAGTTCTTTTTCTGTATGTATTTCTTTAGGCTGTTCTGTCTTGCAATAGATACAGGATTTCTTTAATTAAAATTTGGCTTTAAAGCTCTTGCTTTAGGCACTGTGTGCTGCTTGCCCTGAGGCAAGTAAACTCATCCCTGGTAGGTTTAACTGATGGAAGGATATGGCTGTAACTAAAACTCACAGATTTTTGGCTTAGAGATTGCCTTGAATAGCTCTTCCATCTGTTTGCCTAAAATGGGACCAAAAAAAATCAGTTAAGTGGCCATTTTTCCCCTACTATTGACATGAGATTTGCATGAAAGCTCTTGCCTGCACCGTGGGAAACCAGTTTTGAAGCCTATTGACCTCACATCTTCTGGACCGCGGTGCTGCAGTTGGTGTCTTCTAACTCATAAATATTATTTCTGGATTATTGTGTGTGGTCAGGTGATGCCATCCTGAAAACCCTGGGAATGGATGTACTTGTCAGCAGGGCAGGGGTGCTTGGTGGGGCAGATGAAGGCCAGTTTTTGGCTTCTTACTGAGCTGGTCTGGTGGAGCCCCATGGCCTGGCGGGACCAGCTGAGAGTTCTTGCATAAAAACAGGTTGTGCTTACAGTCCTGGTGGCAAGAACTGCTGCTGTGCCTTCTAATTGTCAGCCTGTAAGGTGATCATTTAATTGGGGGTGATTGTTTTCCCTTCTGATTTGCGTGTGGCAAACTAATCCCAAGTGATGACTTCTGGAGGAGGAGGAGGAGGCTGAAGTGAGTGTGGCACTGGCAGCTGAGATGGGAGCAGTGGGTGGAGGTGGCAGCTCTTGTCAGCCCTGGGACAGAGCGCAGGCAGAGCAGGGCCAGTTTCCATCTCTCCAGCCTGAATTACTGGGATGGCTCTGAGCAACATCAAGGCCGGTTTGGATGGGGCTTGGAGCAGCCTGGTGTAGTGGAAGGTGTCCCTGCCCACAGCAGGGGGTGGAACTGGATGATCTTCAAGCTCCCCTTCCAACCCCAAGCAGCCTGTGATTCCGTGAACACCGAGCTCTGCTGGTTCCCCAGGTCTCAGCCCGTGCTGGGGCTGCCAGCAGCCAGCTGTGTTCACATCACAGAGCTTTGTGTCCCTCTTTATGTGCAGCTGAACCCCGTTTTTGGGGTAGAGCACACAGGGACACAGGGCTGGAGCCTGTTGAGGTTACTGCAAGCTTTAACTCCTGATTTGAGCAGTGCTGGTGCCCTGGGATGTGCAAAGCCTTATGTTCTGTTTGCGTTTTGCCAGCTTAAGTAACGTTACCTCCCCTTTCCCTCTGAACTACTTGAGCTGTGCCAGTTTGGGATGGAGTATCTGCACTGGATCTTTGCATGCACAGACACCCCACACAGCTGGTTGAGAAGCTTTACATGTTGCCTCCTTAATTGCTGGGAGCCAAAAGCTCCACATTAAAGGCAAGAATAAGCAGATGGGTCTTCTGTTATAATTTCCTTAAAATTCCTTTGCTTTTAAGGACTCTCATTCTCCAAGTGCTGCTAAGCTCAGGACTCTTGATCCCGGAGATGAGGTAAGGCAGAGCTGAGCTGAAGTCCATGCCCTTTGTTCCCTTCCAAGCCTGGTGCTGTTGGATGTACTGCTGTCCTTCCCTGGTTGGATATTAACTGCACTCAAATGCTGCATGGCTGGCGCTTGTTTGAGCTGGTGTGCTTGGAATGGCCACTGGGAATGCGCAGGGAAGCATAAATCCTTTAGAGCTGTCAGGCTTCACTAGCCATGGGTGGGTGGGGGAGCCCTCCTTGGCTGGCTGCCCTGGCTAATTAAAAATGAAATTTGCTGTTGTCTTCAGATTTTTAATTCATGCTCATCCCCGAGGACGAGTGGAAGCAAGGGCTGCAGGCAGCTGCAGTGAAGTTTCAGAGCTTGTCTATACATGGTTTTTTAGAACAGGTGTGCAGCTTAAAATGTGCTTTCAACCCTGCCCTGGGTTGTTTTTCAAGTGTAGAGAAGAATATACAGAAAATTCAGGCAAATCTTGGGAGGTGGCCCTGGGCAAGTGACTATAAGTTAAGTAGCCACATATGGCAATGGCCTTAAGCTGATGGAGGGTGGGCTTGGATGGGATATTAGGAAGAAATTGTTCCCTGTGAGGGTGGGGAGGCCCTGGCACAGGCTGCCCAGAGAAGCTGTGGCTGCCCCATCCCTGGAAGTGTCCAAGGCCAGGTTGGACGGGGCTTGGAGCAACCTGGGCTGGTGGAAGGTGTCCCTGCCCATGGCAGGGGGTGGGACTGGATGGGATTTAATGTCCCTTCCAACCCAAACCATCCTGGGATCCTGTGTCAGGTCTCTGCAGTGCTGCCCCCGAGCAGTCAGCAGAGCTGGGGCAGGTGGGAGGACGGAGGTTTGGGAGAGGAATAAATGAAATCTAAATATACACACGCTGCCAGGCCCAGCTTCCTCAAAGTCCCACCTACACAAGAGTTCTCTTGAAGGGAAATGTCAGTGGAATACCTTTCCCCTCTTCAGATCCTTCCTGTGGTGCGGGTGAAGGATCACACTCTATTTTGGGAGCCCGTTTCCGCTGTTCCATCTCCTGCCCAGGCCCCCTCCCAAGACCACTCACTCACCTTCCCATGATCTGAGCTAGGTCTGGACCTTTCTCTTAGTCAGGGGATTGTGTTCTGTCTGGTATTTCATCTGCCTGTAAGCCTGTGAGATCTTAAAAAGCAAAATATTGAAGAAGTGGGAGCTTTGTGCTTGGCAGGGTGAGACTCACCTCGTGCCTGTGGTTCCTTGAAAGCTCTGCTGCCGTGTTGGATCGACCTAAAGTGGGATCAGACCTGCAGTTCACCTGCCCAGTAATGAGCAGTCACTAATGAAAAGCCTCGGAGGGAGCCTGGGATGCCTTTTGATGGGAGGTGTTTGCTGTTGGGTCCTTTGACCTGCTGTACTTTGGTGCTCTGTTGACAGTTTCTGCCTGTGCTTACACACTTCATCTGCAGGTATTGGGATAGGAACCTTTTAGTAGTGTCCCTAAAAGGTTTAAATCCCAGTAGGACAACTGTGAAGCATTTTGGGAAATTAGTGAAGTAGCCTTTGCACACACAGTCTCCAACCCAAAGCTGCTTTTTTAAAATAGCACTTGAAATACTGAGTTTATGGATGCTTTAAGAATCTTCTGCAGTTACTGCTTTATACCAGCCTGACTTTCATCCCCTTTGACTTTCATCCCCTTTATCTCCTGCTGTGCTACTTTTTTTTCCCCAATTCTTTTCCTACTAAAAATAGGAAACACTCTTCAAGTCCTTCACCTTTGTGCAAACAAAGAAGTCATTTGTTTTAGCATCTGAGCTGACTCCTGGGCTACATGGCCTCAGAAGGAAACCAGTGTGATACGAATCTGCTGCTTCTGGAGGCATGGACTCCAAATATAGTCTGAGTAGGGGAAAGGGCTGGAAATGGGAGTGCTTAGTTCTTGTGCCACCAGCTCTGCTGCTTTTTCCCAGCAGGATGCCTGGCTGGATACCCAATTCCCGTTTTTATCCCCAAAAATCAGAACTGTATCATCAGATGCTCAGAGGTTCAAAACCTTTGTGGGAACCACAGAATCCTGGAATGGTTTGGGTTAGAAGGGACCTTAAAGCCCATCCAGTCCCACCCCCTGCCATGGGCAGGGACACCTTCCACCAGCCCAGGTTGCTCCAAGCAAGTGTCCAACCTGGCCTTGGACACTTCCAGGGATGGGGCAGCCACAGCTTCTCTGGGAAATCCCTTCTACCCCCTGACTACTCTCAAAGGGAGCAATTTCTTCCCAATATCCCCTCTGTCAGTGGGATGCCATTCCCCCTTGTCCTGTCCCTCCAGGCCCTTGTCCAAAGTCCTTCCCCAGTTCTCTTGGAAGCCTTTTAGTCACTGGAATAAAATTATTCCAGAATAAAAGAACAGGTTTTTCTTCCAGGAAGACACAGAAGCTGTGAGTTCCCTGAGATCCTGGATGTTGTGTGTACATGTGATACAGCACAAGAGCCGAGGTGGCCAAAGTGCCTGAGATCAGCCCTTTAATTACAGTTGATGTGTGCTCATTTGCAAGCAGGCAGAAAGGCAAATTCCTACTGTTCCTTAGGCAGATTTAAAGGGAGGAACTGATGGAGAGACCGTTTGACTTTTAAACAAGGTGCAGAAGCACAAGGTGCTTACCTGCATGAAAGCCTTATTGTAAATAAGTCGAGTGCACTTGACAAGCCAACAAAATACTTTGGGACATTATCCTGACAGCCTTTTGTTCTTAAATTTGCTCTAGTTCTTCGTGTAATTAATGTGCTGAGTGCTGTCAGGGTGCTTGGGGCACTCTACGGGATGTCAGTGCTGGTTTGCTTCCTGCTGCATTTGCAAGTGGTTCAGCTCAGCCATCCATCCACTTGGGGTGGCATTTTATACCCAATGATTTCCCCCCTGAACAACTTCAGGAGGTGTCTGAATTTCTGCTGCCTTTCCCTCCTGAGCTACGAACCAAATGTTTTACAGAGATTATTTGCTGACCCTCCAGAGACCTCTTAATTCCGTGACACCCCATTTGGAGTGACTTTTGGAGCTGTTGTGGTGAATGGCTGTGTAGTCTGTACCCACATCTCTCTGCCTGGGGGAAAGCAGAGGTTAATTCTGC